AAACTTACTTTAAATTCTCATCTAACCGTAACCTAAACCAACTTAATGCTAACCTCAAAATTAGCTTAATGCAGGCCGATGTCGATCAATCTAGGCCAATGATCAACATAACCTGGCACAGAAAGTAGGAGTGCTAAATTTATAGATTAAGAAGTTACTTCTGGGATGGATGAATTGAGTTGAAATATTTAAATTTGTATAAGGTTGCTTTGAAAGAATACTGATGATTATAGTCATTATATTTCTTAGTTAGCCTATATACGTATTATAATGTACAGTGTCATTAGAGCGGTGCTGTAGCATATGGCATGTAATCCTTGACTTTATCTTTTCGATTGAAACCTTATCAATAAATATAATATGTATCATTTAAGTTTTTCTTTAATTCAAAACGTGATAATTTAATATAAGTTTATGATTAGTTTGGCAACGTTGTTCATAAATTAGTACATTAAGTATTGCATCAGTGGTGATTGATTAACTTTTAAAATTCTGTGTCGCTAAATGAGTAGTTCCACAATAGTTAAAATTTCAGGAAATATATTTCTTCTTCGGATTAGAATTAAGTGATCGTTAGAATAAATTCGAGATGAATCGAAATTTTTTTTTTTTTAAACTGTTCAGTTATTATGAAAACAGATGCAAGCACAAGATGTGGTTGTATAAATAGAAAAATTTTTAAGAAGTTTTTTTTAGCTTTAAAGTAAGTAATATGTAATCAAAAAAATTATTTAAGTAATAAAAAGCATGTAAAGTTATTCTTTTCGATAAGTTTTCAACGAAATAACATGTTTACTCTTAAATTTATAAATATAAATTGAAATTTGATGAAGAATATATACAACTGTACTGTACATATGTATTTATATCAGTTATTCAAGCATTTGTTAGTGCATTTTAATTATTGTACAGTTCAATTCAATTAATTAAAAAACAATATCTTATGCTAACCAACAAAATGCAATTATGGTATAACTTATTTAATTATTACTCTCTATTATCTCTCCACTCGCTCCAGACAATTGAACCACAGAGTTAGTTATTATTTGGTTTTATACTAATAATTTGTTATATTTCAAAACGGCGCATAATTGCTCCATGATACCTTAATGCGTCCGCATTATTTGGCTCGATCACTAATGATTTTGTTAAATCTTCAAGTGATTTATCGTATTCTTTCATCAGATAATAAATAATACCACGAAGTCTTAATGCACATGCATCATTTGGATCAATTTTTAATAATTTTATTAAATTGCAAAGTGTTTCGTTATTTGGGTCGATCTCTAATGATTTTGTTAAATCCAAAAGTGATAAATCCAAAAGTGATTTATCATATTTCATTGTTCTATAATAAATCATGCCACGATAACTTAATGCTCCTGCATTATCTGGCTCAATCTCTAATGATTTTGTTAAATCCAAAATTGAATTATAATATTCCTTCATCATATAACAAGACATGCCACGATAATTTAATGCCTCTGCATTATTGGGTTCAATCTTTAATGATTCTGTTAAATCTCCATGTGATTTATCGTATTCCTTCTTCGTATAATAAATCATACCACGATATCTTAATGTAGATGCATTATTTGGTTCGATTTCTAATGATTTTGTTAAATCCAAAAGTATTCCTTATTCATATAATAAGTCATGCCACGATAACTTAGTGCTTCTGCATTAATTGGTTCGATCTCCAATGATTTTGTTAAATCCAAAAGCGATTTATAATATTCTTTCATTCTATAATAACACATGCCACGATAATTTAATACTTCTGTATTATTCGGGTCAATTTCTAATGATTTTGTTAAATCCAAAATTGAATTATAATATTCCTTCATCATATAACAAGACATGCCACGATAATTTAATGCCTCTGCATTATTGGGTTCAATCTTTAATGATTCTGTTAAATCTCCATGTGATTTATCATATTCCTTCTTCGTATAATAAATCATACCATGATATCTTAATGCAGATGCATTATTTGGCTCGATCACTAATGATTTTGTTAAATTCAAAAGTGATTTATCATATTCCTTATTCATATAATAAATAATGCCACGATAGCTTAATGCCTCTGCATGATTTGGCTCGATCTCTAATGATTTTGTTAAATATATATGTGATTCATTATATTTTTCCTTCTTGTAATAAATAATGCCACGATAAACTAATGCAGATGCGTTGTTTGGCTCGATCTCTAATGATTTTGTTAAATACAAAAGTGATTCATCATATTTTCCCCTCTTATAATAAATAAGACCACGATAACTTAATGCAGATGCATTATTTAGCTCGATTTTTAATGCTCTTGCTAAATCATCAAGTGATTCTTCATATTTATTCATTTTAAAATAGATTATCCCACGTAATAAATAAGCATCAAATTTATTTGATTTTTGTTTTATAGCTAAATCTAAATCTTTAATTGCTTCATAAAATTTATTACATTCTATGTACACTTTTGCCCGATAACATTGTAATGAATAACTTGTAGGATATTCTTCAAGAACTTCCGTAAGCGCATTAATAGTAGTTTCAAGCTCTCCTAATTTGTATGCAGTATTTGCTTTTCTTAAAGATGAATGAAGAAATTTTGGTGCTTTAAAAATTTTTCTTACTGTCGGATTCGATCTTCTAAAAATTTGTTGAGATTTGAGTTTAGAAATATTAATCTCCTCATCGTCACTACTTTCATTAGAAATATTTTCTTGAACAATATTAATATTACTGTCTTCAGGTAAATAATTGCGGATTCCATGATAAATTGCTGACTGTGGCAAATTAATCACTGAATTTAAATTAATTAGTTTCCGACAAAATGGGCAAGTTGGTTGGGATTTGCTATTAATAATTTGCTGCAATGTTTCAGAGCTAATTAAGTGCTTACAACATGATAAAATTTGAAAGTTTTTTGAAATTTTACAAGTAACTGGACAAGATAATTCTGTAGTAACAACCTCTAAAATAAAGTCGCCTCCCGGAGTTATAATATGAGGTGATTTTAAACTATCTGTTGTAATCGCCTTCCCTTTTTCTTTTGAATCATTTATATTATTTTTGTTAGTGTCTATTAATTTTCATCATGAGAAGACTTCATACAAATTGCTTCAATCATATGGTGCAACTTTAACCCTTTTGCTGGATCTAAAGACTGTTTATAATTTTCAAAATCACTATCAATAATACTGTAAAATAATATATTTCTTTTTGACAATTTTATTAAGGCTTCTATAGCCTTGAAACGAATAAAAGAAGAAGGTGCCTTTTGCAAAGATTCTAATGCTAAATAATAACAGATACCTAAAGTTGAATCTTTTTGAGTTTTTGTAATTAATTTTTGTGCAATATCAAGTGCTCCAAACCATAGAGAATGTGGAAATGCAAGAGGCTCCATTCCTAAAAGATTATTAGCAAAATGTTTCATATTTGTATGTGATTCAAATTGAGATATTGGATTTGACCAGTTTTTTGACACATAATGCCATAAGCATTCAAGTAGTAAACTTTCACCATATTTTGAAGGGAGTGAACATTCTTGGAGAAAATTTTGAATATTAAAATTTAATTCAAGTAGTGTTCTCCACTCATAATACCATGATGAAATTGGATATTACCAAGTAAAAGCCTCTTGTAAATTCTTAGACAGCAATTCTATACCATTATCTATAGGTAAATCAGCACCATGTGAAATTCCTGGTTTTATAAGTCCTGGTGTAATACCTAATATTATACGAAGAATTGCTTTTATTCTATTCCATATTTCAAAAAACCTACTCTCATCATCTCACCGTCAGTTCACTTAGCCGACATCACATAGGGTTAGGGTTAACGTTTTATTAGTTTTTTTTACTAAGTTGTCACTTGGCGTATCGGTACAAAATATAATTGAAATCCCGATGACAGGTTTTTCCTTAGCAGCACTCAATTGGCCGTATAAAAATTTGCGCAGAGGCGAATCTCGATCAGTGTTTAAAATTCGATTTTGTTTCAATGTGTGGGAAGCTTGATAATTTCTGTAAACGTAATAAAATTTTTTTTTAAAAAAAAAGACGCATGACACATAATAAAATCCGCAGATTCAAAGGAAAATTTACTTGCGGAATTAATTTTTAATCTGCGCACCGCAGATTCCGCTTACAGAATTTAAACACTGATCTCGATCCACTATGAAGAAATTCAATCTTAGGTTTGAATATAAGAGACCTGGGTACTTTCTTCAATATTACGAACCATTAAAGATTTATTAATAATAATGGCATCTAATATCTTTTCACGAGATATAAATAGCACCTATTTTACTTTCACATTAAGTTCGCATTTTAATAAAGCTAATAATGAATGTCTCGTCTCTATTTAAATCTATTAACGCCGACTAAAATTCAGATATGCCTTTTATTAACAACACTAACCCTAACTAAATTTTAAATTATGTTAAAATGGTCTAAGGCATGACATTAACCAATCTTTGTTAAGTAACAATAAATTTAATATTTTTAATAAGAATCATATCTAGCATAAAACGAGCTTTAAAAGTAATATTATTAAATAAGATTGATTTTTCTTTGTCGTAAATAACCTATAAATGTAGAATGCTATTTTTTATGATCTTAAAAATTGGAAAATGTTTATTACAAATTAAAGTCCTGGGATGTTATTTCGATATTAAAGTTTTAAAGAATAGGCTATCTCTTTTATTAACATCATTGTCATTATTTATAATTTTAATGAAACCAAAGTAAAAAAAAACTTCTATCCGAAATAACACCTCGGTGCATTATATCATGATAAGCTTATATAAACGATTATATTTTTACATATAGTAAGTTTGCACTAAATATTATCATTTAATGAGATTAATAATATATCGATATTACTGGCTTACTATTTTCGGCACTACTGACACTATACTGTCTGCCACATAATATAGAAAATATTAAATTTCCCACGAATTTTTGTTCAAAATAATAAACTTACATATACTGTATGGCACTATGTAAGTTAAAAATAAAAATTTATCGTTTTTTTAAAGTTAGCTTTTCTGGGATTTTCTTTTTACATTGTACGTATTATGATGATGCCAGTTTCGTACGTACGTACGTACTTACAAGTGTGCGTAAATTAGAAATTAATGCAGATGGATTGCTTGTGCATAATAACCAAAATTTTATTATTTGATTTCAAAGACTAAATAGAGTGATTAAAATCATTATATGTAACGTTAGCCTTTTAGAATCTCTGTAGTTCCATTGCTTTTTTTAAATTTTTTTACTTGTATTTCGAGATTTTCTAGGAATCTTATGACTATCCTGTTAGAGTTCTGTTATTAAATATATTTTCAGTATTTACAATGTTAAAATCGGTTCCGTCTTCATCAATAATCATTCACTGGCAGCTATTTAGCTGACATAATGCAAGATGACAATTTTACTAAAAATATATACCAATAGTTAATCAAGTGCTACCCAACTTTATGTGTTGGTAAATAAGCTTTCGGTAAAATTATTGTGCTGCATTAATTAAAAAAAATCATAAAGTATGTACGTACGTACATACGCATGCACGCATGAATTAACTTTAAGTTCCCCCCTTACAGAATTAGACATAAATAATAAATTGTAAAAATCAGATAAGGTTCTTTTTTTGCTAATGCCTTGACGTTAAAGAGTATTAATGGAATGATATATTAATTCGGTACAAAGTTAATAAAGTTGTATAATTTTATTATATATTTATAATTCTGAATCATGGAGCATCGGACAATGCTTCAATATTGCCGGCACGAAAGAACGCATTTATAGTAAATATTTATATTTATTTGCATTTTCTATTTAATATAAAGTTAAAAAAAACCTAGGTTCAAAATTAGCAAGTTTCATTATCTTGAAGATTATCAAAACTTTAGATAAATCTTATCCTAATTTAAGATCTTTATGCAGTGATGGGAAGAAAAAAAAGAATCAAAGTTTTAGCAATAATGAAAAAAAAGAAAAGAATCAAAAATAATCAGCAATTTTAGTAATATTTCGCCAAAGTCGTAATTGATCAAAAAGAAATGATGATTTCATATTTAAATGCCAATCCAAAATTTCTTATATAAACAACCTTTTGAAGCCCTCCTTCAACTCAACACAACCATTTTCATTTCTTTATTAAAAAATATAACTTCCCTCACGCACGAAAAAAAAAAACAATAATAAAAATTAATTGACAAAACATCTCTTTAAATCACAATTTAAAAAAATGAAGTTAAATATATCTACAGTATGTTTGATCCTTTTACTCTCTTCCTCTACCACAATAGCGGCTCCAACTAGGCC